TGGTTTATTTGGAGTTACGGCCGGAGAATTGACGAGACAGGTGGTGTGTCACGAGTTGACACAGCGGTTGCCAAACCAATTCTGAAAAACTCTTCTGCAGCTCGAGGTTTTAACTAGTTCGGAGTGTAATAATCAACATTCTTCATCAGCGAGACTAAACATTATGGACCCTGAATCTAAGTAGAGCTCTCGTCCATAGAAAAGAATGTGCCTCAGGGAACCTTCGTCCCTGAACAGTAAACTACCTCATGGCGGCTTGTGCTCGGTCATAGACTGGCAACAACAATGCGCCCAAGCTGCCCACTCCTAAAGAGAGATAGCAGCAATACCCAAGGCTGTAGACCAATGCCATGGAAAGGAGACAGTGTAGAGTGAAAATGATGAACTGTGTCGAAGGTAGAATACCTAAGCAAATTATTCCCTAACAGTTTTGTTGTATTATTTACTCACTTGTTAGCATCCGCCAACAAAGAAAATGTTTTGGTGTTTATTACATTTCTTTAGAGGAACTATATCGGACATATATTTTCTGTTAAGTTAGTAGAATATGATGTAAAGGTTTGGATAGCCCTGCATCTTTACAATCATTTGAATATGGCACATGTTTCGATTTCCTTTCAATTAATTGTTTAGCCCTATTATTCAGACTGACATCAAATTTGTATTTGGCCGAAGTTGAAGTTTATCAAATTGATGGTACATTTGTAATTAGTAAGTAATGGAAACAACACATATTCTTGGGAAAAACGCATTACATTTGCAGACACAACTGATAGCAGAAGACACATATTTCTCTTTGTTGTTCGGGACACTATCATTGTCGTTGACTTGTGTTTTGTCTTTGATGCATAGATGAGTGGAACTATAATCTTGCGCAGCAGTTTTCAAGACATAAGGAAGAGTATCTGCTTTGTGAAACAGTTCAGAAACATCCTGTCCCTCCCGCTGAAAGCCGCTCTCCAGCATCTGAAATAACAGTATCAGGTTTTTCCAGTGCAGCGGTTGCTTTGACATAGATACGTTATCCAGATTTAAATGTGGATACTTTAAGGCTCAGCCTGTTTCCTCTGCGTGAAAAAGGCCTATTATCATCTTGTCAATTTCAGTTTCCCCCCACTGCAGCGGCCACTCAAACACACTCACATCCGCCGATGCACACACACACACACACACACACACACACACACACACACACACACACACACACACACACACACACACACACACGCACACACACACGGCTCGTATCTCTACACTGTCAATGGTTTTTAAACTCACCATGTCCAGCCCTTGGCTCGGCCTCCGAGAGAGGAACCTGGGATTAATGAGTCAACCTCCACACTTACTGCAGGAGACAAAAGGGCTGCGAGTTAAGTGTCGTCTCCTCCGTCAGCCCAGAGGTGTTGAAAGGGTGGATTGCAGGGAGGAAGTTCTTCTTAGGGCTGAGTGGATGTTTATCTGCCTCCGAGTGAAAGAGAGAAGAGGGAGGAATGGACTGAAGGAGAGGGAGAGGGTACAGGAGGTTCACTGAGTAGTCATAGTGAGATAAAAGTAAGATTAGTGCTAATGTACAGTAAGAAGGCAATTCTAGGTGGAGTAGTGAAGCTTGTCCTCACTCACCTGGCTTAATCTTGGTCTTATGACATTTCTAAAAGGTTTGACAGTCACACTTTGATGGACAAATGGCTTAATATCCTTTCCCTATTTGTCATCAAACTAAATCATGCCTTACAGCGATCATCTGGTAGGACAGCCTTTCAGGTTATTATACTGACTCTTGGTTGGTGATAGGTGTCTTTTCTGTACGCATTATTGTCTTTCAATACTTCTGATTTCCCCATTTAACTCTTGTCATTGACATATCTTACCGTTTACATTTTCAGATAAATAGCCACATATAACATTCATTGAGGCTCATATATACCTCGGGACAGATATTTCTCCTGTATGCTCAAGACAAATAACCTGCTCTGACATTTACCATGAGTGATCCACATAAATAGCTGCATGATGTACTGTATGTGAATGCACTTCAGTTTTTACTGTCCACACTAATACATGAACGATACCCCTGGTGTTTTTATAAACTGTTCACTCCGGCAATCATAGTCATTTTTGGCACGATTTAGTCTGGAATGAAGAGAGAGATTAGTTTTTTCATATGAATAAATATTTTGCATATATCTATAATCATAGTTGGTGGTAGATTATCATTTTGAAAACCCCTATAGGGAGAGTTTAAATTAGCAGTAGCTCTAACTTCTCTGTTTTCGCTCTATGTTAAACAGCATCGTCCCTATTAGATAAATAAAGTTGTTGTCTTGGTAACAGTGATAATAGTACAGAGTACACAGCAGCAGTAATAGCTAGTAATAGTGAGGCTGCCTCTAATCTTAAACCAAACTGTGAATGGTCCAACTGCTGCCAAATTGTGAACTTTTTAAGCGGTTTGTAGTTTGTCGTTCTGTGGGAATACATGTCAAAACTAGAAATAAATCACTAATGTTTCTGAGTGGGGATAACCATAGGTATGACAACACTAAACTGGCTGTCCATTCTGCACACATTATTGATCTAAAACTAAATGGGATACTATGCTTTGGTGGCAGAGTTTGCATGTGAACTCATGCCCAATGAATGTGTAGCAGTAGTGCCATCAGCAGTGTTAGTAGTCGTACTAGCAGTATATCAAACACGGTACTGTAGAGTTCACACTCTGAGAAATGTCTTCATTTGCCAGCTGAACCACAGATGTTACACACAAACATGAACCAGTACACAGTGTTCAGTGAACATAGAAGCAGCCCTGTGGAATTACAACACACACACACACACACACACACACACACACACACACACACACACACACACACACACACACACACACACACACACACACACACACACACACACACACATGCACATACCTCTCTCTCTCTCTCTCTCACACACACACACACACACACACACATCTCCGCCTCATTCTGTTGTCATTTATCGTTCGCTATCTGACCAGCTTTCAATCTTGTAGGCTACTCACTTCGTTTCTTGTAGCCCTCGAAAGGGTTTTGGAGGTTGATGCCTCGTGAACGTGAGTTGTTTGGCTTTCTTGTCCGCAGCAGCAGAAAGCATTTTCGAATGTTTGAATGAATCAAAATGGATCGTCACCGTCGATTTTCTCTTATGCTCCAACACACAGTTACACGGGGTGCAGAATAGTTTTCCCCCCACTTTTTGCCCGGTCTTTTCCTCCATACCCAAATCCTTTAAAAACAGGGGTACAACGAGCGGATACAGATTTGCTGCCGATCTGACGTCAAATCGGCGGCGGACCCACAGAGAGTTGCTATCAGAAACAATGCCTGACGTGTTTTGGACGTAATCTCGTCTTTCTTTACATTAGCAAGCCTCGCTAACACTCAGAGCTAACCTGTACTGGAGAGCACTGGAGAGCACATGTGTTTTTAAAAAAGCAGGAAATAAAAAAAGGAACTCTCCTTGTGCTAAACCCGCAAGAGAAAAAGCATTTGAGCTCCATACTATTTCAGAAATAATCCTTGACGTGGTTTAAACAGGATGGCGTTTTATCACAGCAGAATTGAACTTTATCTCCGGTAGAATTCTGATCAGGCATTAGCTCCGCCTCCTCTTCTTTTTTTTTTCAAGCTAAGGACCCAAAATCCGCTTTTTCTAACAGGGCTGCAAAAGAGGGGTATGATGAGCAGTACGAGGCATGGCTACAATGGGTGATCTGTTTGGTATTTTAAGCAAAAAACTTCACAGACATGTTTTGTATTGGTATGGCCCTACGATAGGTCCACTTTAATATAATGCAGTACCTTGTTATTAACTCCCTCTCTAGGAAACGTTGGCGTTTGCTGACCATTTACATGCACACAAAACCTATGTAACACTACAGGAAAGGGAAACCCCTCAGAAGCATTATAGGGCCTCTTTAATAATCCTTAAACTTGACTTTTCTTTTTCTAGGGTCCAGAGTTACTGAGCAAGTATGTTGGAGAGTCTGAGAGAGCCGTGAGAGAGGTTGGTACATTACATTTTCATAACCGAATGAACGTATTTTAATACTTTTGTTATGTTGAAGTTGAGTTTTCCGGACACCATCTATTTCTGGTTGCTGATGTAATGAACGGATGAGCTGAGATCTAGTTTATGACATTAACAAGTGTCACATTTCCTGTGTATGTTTGTGCTGAGAGTGATTCATTTGTCCTGCTAACAGTTTGTCCTGTTTCCCTCTCCTCTATTGTTGCTCGCAGGTGTTTAGGAAGGCGCGGGCCGTCGCTCCGTCCATCGTCTTCTTTGATGAGATCGACGCTCTCGCCAGTGAGAGAGGAAGGTACAGTGTGTTTGTTTTCTCAACACCATAGAAAGTGGCCCTACAATTAGCACAACATTCAAAAACAAAACGGCAAAAAAAGAGTTCCTGCCACTTTATAAATGTCCACTTCCTGTCCCTGAAAGGTCGCTGCTGACCGCTGTTTACTATTTTCAGCACTGTGGTTATTCATTGTCCAGCGGTGACACATGCGCAGACATCGCTGCGGCCTGTTTTTAATTCCTCGTCTCACAAAGATTCGCTTATGAATGGAAGGCGCAAACATCTCAAAAAGTCTGCATGACTGCGCTATCAAAGCCGTCCACTCTGTTCCCATGGTGTCCTCTCAGACTTTTGCGGCTTTTCGCCACCGGCCAAACACAGGACACAGTCTTGTCCGGAGGCGCTTTAGTGGGATGGCACTGGGAACATCTGTGGCTTAAAGGAAAGAGGACGGGGGGGCGGACAGAGGACACAGACCGGAGGCGCACAAACACTTCATTGTGCCCGTCCACGGCAGATGGGGAAGGCCACATATGCAGCATGCTTCCTGGTAAACCAGTCGATGAAACTCAATGTTGCAGGAAGGAGCAGAGAGAGGCCAACAGTAAATCCTCCATGTTGGTCTGGGTCACTAAGCTGACTGGTTTTAGAGACGAGACATATGTTGACATTTTGTTTTTGTACACGTCCCTTTGATCCTGAAATGTTATTATATCCTAACAAAGGCAAACATCTAACTGTTCTAATACATTCAATCTAATCTCTCAATGTCCTCTGCACAGGTTTCTTAACATAAACATTAGTTTCTCCTCCTCTATGAAAATATAAGATTTTGTAAATGCCAATAACTCAATCTCAATTTCCAGTGGCTGGTGTGTTACGAACGAGAGGTGTAAAGATTAATTTGTTCTAGTGTTATTGAAAAATATCTTCCAACACATTTGTCCTAAAACATGTGTTGATTTTACATTTTTACACTCCTTTAAATCACAAATTCGGGTCAACTAGGGTCAATATTGTTTCCGTCAGTTATATTTGAGCTATTGCTTTTATAAAACGGTTACCAAGTGTGGCAATATGAAAAAAAAAAGTACACACTCTAATTTAAATAGTTTTTATTAGTAAATAATGATGTTCAAAATTCTTCTTCTGCACAAAACATAGTGCGAGGTGGTTGCTATGCAACAACACTAACAGCTAGCGAACATTTTAGGCAGAGAGCGTTGATCCATTATTTGGCTGTTTATTTACATTCATTTGTATGTTGCTGTTTATTGTGCATCCACTGAAAAACTGTCCTTCACGTAGCTCTGCATGTCGTCGTTTAGGTGCTTTTTTTTCTGGAGATAGGCACTGCTCAATCCACTCCTCCATAGTAAGACCCCCCCGGAGGTCGAAGTTAATCTTAAATGTTTCCATCTTATGCTTTGTAAGTTTGTTTCGTAACGGAAGAAATGTAAATATATTTATAAAANGCACACACACACACACACACACACACACACACACACGCGCCACATGGACGTAATGTACAAAAACCTGTGTTGAAGGTGTTTTTATATTCCCGATAACCATTGCTAAAATTAAAGTACATTTACTCCAGTCCTGTAGTTAAGTATACGAGATACTTCAAATGTATCTGAGTATTTTTATGTTATGCTATTTTATTTTATTGCTAGTTTAAAATTCTGAGTTCTTCTTCCACCACTGACGTTTACACATTTATATATAAATCTATACATATATGGGAATATCTTCCACTCACACTCCTCTCTAAGTGTGTGTGTGTGTGTGTGTGTGTGTGTGTGTGTGTGTGTGTGTGTGTGTGTGTGTGTGTGTGTGTGTGTGTTTGTGTTGAGGGGGGGCAGTCTGCTGTTCGAATTGATTGCAGATTGTGTGTCACTGATGCAAAGAGACTCCCAGAAGACTATTTGATGGTGGTGAGAGAAAGGTTGAGATTAAAAACACTGATAAGACACACACACACACACACACACACACACACACACACACACACTTAGAGAGGAGTGTGAGTGGAAGATGAGAAGATAAATGTGGAAGAGGGATTTAACGATGCGGGAAGATAGGAACAAAGACAGATAATTTATTTAGAAAAATTTGAAAGATTCCAGATGAAAGAGAAAGTGAACAAACAACAAAGTGTTATCCCTGCTGGTCTCTCCAACATAAACAGATTTGGAATTGCTTTTCATAAGATTATCTCTTACCTTTCTCACACTGAAATGAACATAATCTGTCTTTATTCCATTCAAGCTGCCAGGTAATGGAACCAGACTTCTTACTACAGTGAGGGTCAGTTACAGCCTATACTGTACATTATCAGAGGGGGGGGCTTCTTTATAAGCTGAAAATATTTTAGCCCTCAGAAAACTTGAGGAGGGAAAAAAACAGCCCTCAAAGTAAAGGATATGCAATAGCTGTAATGAAATATAATTAAGCGATAGCTAGCGACAGGCCGTGGTATATGCTAATTATATCACAGCTAAGGGGCGTGGTTCGGCCCGACGCGAAGTAAATACACACTCCAATTTAAATCGTTTTTATTAGTAAATAATGAAGTTAAAAATAAAATAGTCACTCCGTTGCCTTCTGCACGAAGGATAGTGCGAGGTGGTTGCTGCTATGCAACAACACTAACAGCTAGCGAACATATTAGACAGAGCGTTGATCGATTATTTGGCTATTTATTTACATTAATTTGTATGTTGCCGTTTATTGTGCACCCACTGAAAAACTGTCCAGCATCAGTAGAATGGCTTACGTGGTCACTTGTATAGGTTGAGGTTGTTCGAGGCTGTTGCTTGGCGTGGCGAGAATATTGCTCCACTTTCTCCGGTCCCCGAGATTGGGCTTCCAGTAGCTCTGGAGAGAGCCTTCGCACCTGTGGCCACTAACGGTCATAATTTCTCTGCTTTGTTTCAAGACCCGCATCAGAAAGCTTTTGAATGGTGGTACTTTTCCAGTTGGTCTACCTGCTCTTCACGTAGCTCTGCATGTCGTCGTTTAGGTGCTTTTTTTCTGGAGATAGGCACTGCTCAATCCACTCCTCCATAGTAAGGCCACCCCGGAGGTTGAAATTAATCTTAAATGTTTCCATCTTATGCTTTGTAAGTTTGTTTCGTAACGGAAGAAATTTAAATATATTTATAAAACTGACAAGTCAAATCAAGCAATCTGATTGGTCGATAGCGTTTTTGCGGACCTCTTTGATTACAGATTTGAAAACATCGTTGCTTGCTTTAAAAGTAGCACAATTCATTATGTTAAACCTTCAAAAGTATCTAGATATCCCTGCCCTAATGCCAAAGGAACTGCACACTGAATATGTTTTGCCGTTTGATGTCTATGTCTGGACCGCTGCGTCAAAAAGGAGGGCTTCTGCCCCGTTACTTCTCCGCTGCTTTCTTGTTCCAGTATGAAAAGTTTGCTTTTCAGCCCAACGGTATACTGTTTTTCTCAGACGCGGAGGGATACTGACTTGTTGTGAAAAGTAACTTACAATTCTACCCGTGGTATACGCTCAGCATATCACGGCTAAGAACCAATCAGATTGCTTGATTTGACTTGTCCGTTTTATAATCATATTTTTGCTCTTACTGCTAAGACTGAAATATAGACTGCCACTTTTCAAGCTAACCCAGAATAAACACATTCTGTATATTCATTAATATGTTCTTTATACTAGCTATTCAATATTTAGCTCCATATTGTCATCACACGATAACTTCACCACTCTACAGTCTTCAATGTTATGTACTACTCACATCATATTTAAAATAATAAAAACTAGATTGCTTTTTATGAAAAGTCTGTACACATGTATATACATTTTCTTTATAGGAGTAGAACGATTATTTCACATTTCTCCTACATGCTTCGTAACAGAGTGGACCACACTGACTAACAGTTATAAAAGCAGAATCAAACAAAATCCAATTGAAAAAGACAAATAAGAATTGCTCTTAGAAGAATAAATCACTTATTTTAAGAATTAAATTGAATTGCTGGTCTGTCAGTCGAGCCGTTCAGTCGACAGCGCTTTCATTTTCCCAAACAGCCCTTATACTTTATGTTTAGTGCAGTCTTGACTCGCTTCCAGTGTATAGGAAATAACTCCATTGCAACTTGTCTTCATCAATCAATTTTTTTGCCAGTGGGACTGACAAGTTCTGTCTGCTTCTTTTTTCAGTATGAATAACCCCCCCCCACCCCGCCCTCGCCTCCTTATCTTGATGTTCAATTTTAAGAATGCACTCTGATCCTCCACCCATAATGTGTGTGAGTTTGTTGGCCGGCTGCTTTGGACGCGAGGCTGGACCCGCGCCTCGGGTCTACTTGCCATTTAAGAAGAAATGCACTTAGCGCTGATCTATAAAGGTTATTTATTGGTCTCCACTTCCTGCCATGTTTAATCAATGAAGTGGCTCACGCACGCAGGCAAGAATTCAAAACTGTTGACACAACCAGAGAGCCTCGGCTGCGTGGTGTACGTGTGTTTTTTTGTCTGTGGAGGCAGGAGATGAGAAGCACCTGTAAATCTGTCAGCCTACCTGCCACGAGTCTAAACTGTCGGAGTGAAACGGAGGAGACAGAGAGAAGACAGGAAGGGAGGCAAAGTAGGGGATACGAAAACAGACAGTGAATGTTGGATAGAAGCAGACGGATGAAAAATGTGTTCAGGATAGAAAACTGCATTCCTGACTGAGAAAAGAAAAGGGAAGAAAAAACAATGAATACAAGAGTAACTGCTCCATGAAGATATGTTGTATAATTGTATTTTTACTGAGGGAGTTGAATACTTTACATTGAAGAGGCCCTATTCAAGATTTTGGAGGTTTTCCCTTTCCTGTAGTGTGTTATTATAGGTTTGGTCAAAGGTTGAAATCCTGCTTGAAACGCCTCCATTTAGTTTATTGATTTATCGTGTCGTGGACAGTCCCCATTGATCAACTGTCACAAAACACATTGTACTCCTTTGTTTACTTACTGAACTTAGTGACATCACTGTGTAACACTTGTGCTTCTATTGGCTAGCAATCGAACACATTGTACGTGGCAGGCTAAGTTGCGGGACAAATCTTTAAGCGGTTGACCAATCACAACAGAGCCGGCCAGCTAACCAATCAGAGCAGACTGGGCTCTGGGAACAGGAACGAGGCACTACGAGAAAAAACAGGCACTTTTTGAACAATACTGCATTTAAACATATCACAAAGGCACAAGATATGAACCTGAAAAAGAGTTGGGGTCAAACTTATGTTCTTTGTCCCTACTATAATACATTATTGACATTAATTGATACTGAATTTTACATATATTATACTTTCTTGGTCAGTTTATACATTTATATTTCCATTTTTCTTTTGTTACAATGAAAGTCTCCCCCTTTTATTTCCCTCTGTGCCTCATTCTCTTTGTCCATGCTCTCCTTTTCTGTCACCCTCAATCTCCTTTCATTTCCCTGACATCCTCTGTCCTTTTGTCTCCCCCTCCATTGCTCACCCCTCTTCCTCTCACCACCTTCATTCTTCCTCTCCATATTTCTTTCACATCATATTCTCCCTCTCATTTGCCTTTTCTCTCCAATGCATCGCTCTGTCCTCCTTTCCCTAATCCTCTTCCCTCCCTTTTCTCCCCACTCACCCTAACTCTCCCCCCCCCCCCCCCC